TTATTAGCTGCCGTTTCTATTGCCTGAGCAATTTCCAAAGCTTTCTTAAAGTCCAGTGTGGGCTCCCCCAACAACCGACGCATCATGCCATCATCATTTATACCACACACCAACCTGTCGCGGAGCATGTCATCCAGCACGCCTCCAAACTCACAGTGCTCCGATAGCTGTCTCAGCTCCGTCACATACGCAGCCACCGAAACTCCCGGCTTGCGTGAATGAGTGTGGAATTTGAACCGCTGAACAATCACGGAGGGTTTCGGGCAGTGATGATTTTGCACCAATGTCACCAGTTCTTTGAAACTGAAGTCCCCGGGTTTCTGAGGCGTCGTCAGGTTACGTATCAACTTGTAGGTCCTCGCTCCACACGCACTGAGAAGAACTGACCTTTTTTTTCCTTCGTCCGAAATGTCGTTTGCCAAGAAAAAGTGTTCCAGCCTCTCGACATATTCAATCCAGTCGCCGTCTCCCTCGGCGAACTCCGTGAGCGATCCGATCGTAGCCATAGATGCGAAGCGGTAGTCCGACTGCAAAATCCGTAGCAAAAACTCAAAACTGTCCGCGTTCGGCTTTTATCCTCGTCGCCAAAAAGGTGTTATAACCTCAGGATAAAAATGCTCGGAAACTCAAGTGCCAGTTTTAGGACGTTTACTGACCACTTTTAGAAACAACCACAGCTAGTTGCACACATACAAAAAACTGTCCCACACATAACATTCCGGCAGGGAGAACCCTGAAAAACTTCTGATGGTTCCGGGGTTCAACGCCCCCAAACATACATTAACAACAACACTGTCTATAACAGAAATCATCATTAAGATTGGCCCATCTACAGTAAACTTTTTGGCATCACACTTGGAAAATAACATTAATCTTTCAACCAACTTTCCTGGTAACTTTCTTTGAGAGCAGCAGGGTCTAATTTAAACCTTTACCATTTAAACCAGGGGTCCCCAATCCCAGTCCACGAGGGCCAGTGTCCTACAGGTTTTAGATGTTTCCTTGATCCATCACAGCTGATTTAAATGGCTAAATGACCTCCTCAACATGTCTTGAAATTCTCCAGAGGCCTGGTAATGAACTAATCATGTGATTCAGGTGTGTTGACCCAGAGTGAGATCTAAAACCTGCAGGGACACTGGCCCTCATGGACTGGGATTGGGGACCCCTGATCGAAACTCTCATGTTCTTTTTGCTATTAAAGTGTGTGGAGTAATTAAGCCAAGATGTTAAGAACCATTTACAGGCTTTAGAAATTTCTTATGTATATGATTCCAAAGAGTCTGGCAAGGAATTTAAAAAAGAGATCTCTAAATTATTTGAAATACATCATACATAACAGTCAGCCCAGGAGCAGACTGTTTGATGTGAAAGAAGTCTCCAATAAACCCCAAATTTCATTACATCATCTGCAGGCAACTCTTGCAACAGCTGGTGTCAAAGGAGAGTGATTTCATGAATCTGAATAGCATGGGATCCGTATCCAAAAGTAGAAGAAAAAAAATCTCACATTCACTGCAGCTCTTGTTGGTGGAAATATTTCAGTTTGGGGTTACTTTGCTCCTTCGGGAACTGAGAAGCCTAAAGTCACTGATTTAACTATGGATTCCACATCATGCGCTTAGAAGGTAATGTAAGGCCATCTTTCTAAAATTTCATTTTGAACTAGGATAGGACTTTTCAGTAGGGTAACAAAATAAGTTAGCTTGCAAATCCACTAAGGAATGGCCTAGAAAGAAGAAATGGAGGATTATGGCGTGCTCTGGTGAAAAAAAAGCCTAGATTTTAAACCTTCTGAATTAATATTTTTCAGCAGAGGAAATTTTATATGGAACAAATTTAGGTCAAACATTTAGGCAAACCCAATGGCAGACTCTGGCACAGTTATACAAAATGCTTCCAAGAAGGATTTTCTGCTAAAGGGTAAGGGGTATCAGTTCCTGATGGTAAGACTATATTAGCTATAAGAGTTTGTATGTTCTCCCTGTGTCATGAATTCTGGATGAGAACCCCAAATGCAGACTATAATATAGGCAGGTGAAATGACACTTACAGCATACCTTAAATGAATAGCAGCTGTAACAGTCCAACTGAAAACAAGTTGAAAAGGGGAATAAAATTCAAGGAAGACATAACAGAACTGTCACAAAAGACTCTGTAAGGAAAAACTAAAACCAAAAATGACAAGAAACACTACAAACAGACAGTAAACAGTAAAAGCAGACTGGAAGCAGTTCAGGAGGACAAACAAATGCACTGACAAAGGACTGAGTGGGCTAATATGCACACTCACTGACGGATAATGGGAATCAGACACAGGTGGAAGGAATGACACAGCTTCACACAATCGGCAGAAGAGTGGAGGAACACAGGAAACACCTAACTACCAAAATAAAACAGGAAATGAAGAACAGTGACTGACAAAAACTGACAATGACTAAACTGAAAAGTAAATAAAACTAACTGAACCTCAGAATATAAACAAGGCAAAGACAAACAGAAAAAAAAATTTAACTGGAAAACACAGCTCAAACACCATGGCTATGAACAAACTACGATTCATATAGAATTAGATAATTTGTGATAAGATAATTGGTGTTTAACCAGATAATTACTCTGGATGGCATTTCCTTGGCCTCAGGTAACACTGTGAGGAATCTTGGGGTCATTTCTAAACAGGATTTGTGCTTATTAAACTAATATGTCAGGCTACGTTCTTGGATTTGTGCTATATTTCTAAAATTAGATACATTGTGTCTAAATTATTAACAGCCTGTAGTTGATCCAAAATGCTGCAGTAAGAGTATTGACAGGGGCTAGAAAGAGCGACCATATTTCTCTCGCTTGGCTTCTCTTCATTGCCTCCCTGTTAAATCCAGAATTAATTCTACATTTTCACGCACAAACTCTTGAATAATCAGGCCCCATCTTATCTTAAAGACCTCATGTATACCTCGTATAACTCCATTAGAGCACTTCACTCACAGACTGCAGGCTTGTTGTGGTTCCTAGGATATTTGAAAGTAGAACGGGAGGCAGAGCCTTCAGCCTCCAGGCCCCTCCTCTGTTGAACCAGCTCCCAGTTTGGATTCAGGAGACAGACACTCTCTCTTAAAATTAGGTTAAAACTTTTGTTTTTGATAAAGCTTATAGTTAGGGTTGGATCAGGTGACCCTGAATTCTCCCTTAGTTCTGCTTCAGTAGGCCCAGGCTGCTGGGGACTTCCCATTAATGCTTCTTCACTCGCTTTTTTTCCACTCACTGTGTGTTTGCACACCACTTTGCATTTAATTGTTAGTGATTATTAATCTCTAGCTCTTGTCCACAGTGTCCTGTTTTGTCCTGTCTCCCACGCTTTATTCCCAACTGATCATGACAAATGGCTGCCCGTCCCTGAACCTGGTTGTGCTGGAGCTTTCTTCCTGTTAAAGCTGAGTTTTTTCTTCCCACTGTCCCAAGTGCTTGCTCATAGGGTGTTGTCTGATTAATGGGGTTTTCTCTGTATTATAATAGGGTCCTTACCATTCCATTATAAAGCACCTTATTGTGGATTTGGCACTATATAGATGAAACTGAATAGACTACATTGCATAATGTGGCGAACTTGAACTTGAACTCTGAGTCGAAAACCCAGGACCACAATGCCCTGTACATTGCTTCGGGTGCTGTCACTTCCTTCCACCGTTCAAAGACAAAGAAATACCTGTAAATGGAAACTACTACTGGATGCTTTGAGTCATTGGGAAGACTATAATGCTATAAAAACACAAGCTACACTTTTTCCAAAGAAATATTAACCCACTACTGCACAGTGATGTCCTCAGCAAATGGAAAACTGTGTTTGTGTCTGTATGTGTCACTGCAGCCAAAAGGAAATGGTCAAAAAAGTACCAAAGAACAGCCCGATAAGGTGTGGGAGTCACTATTCACTGTGTGGAGTCACTTTTTTGTGACTTTGAATGTTATCACATAACGTATTTATGTGAACAACATAGACTTTAAATAATATCTGATAATGATGGTAAAAAAAGATAGACACTTACTGTACCTGCACTCAGTAGATACACTGCTTCTGCCAACCAAAACATGCCTGTCCATTCTCTCACTACACTACAACAACCTAATATTCTCCTGTTACATCCCCCAGATTGGAAAGGCGAGGAGAGGAACACAGGGTCACTCAGTAATATTCAAGATGACTAATACATGACCTTTTAACTAATCTCATAAATCACGAGTTGATCATTTATATAACAGGAATTCATGATACATTAATTCACATATTTAATCACCATGCAGTTGTTATTCTTACCTACATAAATAGCCCTAAAAAAAGCATTTATGCATTCTATTTTTAGTGTACAGCTGACCCAAGAAAGACAAAAACGGAGCTTGCATCACCCTCTTGTTGCATATCATTTAATACAAACCATACACTTGTGTGGAAGAGGATTAGGGCCACTGGTTAAAAGCAAAAACAAACATACACACAGAAAAAGAAAAATAGAGGCATCTTGGATTTTTATAAATGAATTTTGAGGTATAAATTCAGACTTCAATCTCTTGAATCTTTTTTTTTTTTTTTTTTT